ATTTCCTCAACGTTCATATTTTTAGTATCTCAAAGTCCTCCGATATCTCAAACCAATGAGCACATAACATTAAAAGTATGTCTATCCATTCTAAGTTGTTCAATACATACAATGTCACTAGCAACAATCATGCCATTGAGGTGTTGAATGTGTGCTATTAGATTATGTCTACTAGGTTCTTTTGTTAACCTCAACATACTCCTCCAAATGACATACATCAATATGGTCAACAATATAATAATCAATTTGATCCTATGTCTTCTCTCCGAGATGTGTCTAACAATATCTCTATTGTGAGATGAACGAGCCATAACCGTTAACAAAAAAAGTAGATGGATGAAATTTATTACTATTATTTTATTTTATTTTTTAAAAGTTTCGCATCAAGCCTAAAGAAACCATGCAATACGAGACACTCCACTAGATCAAGCGATTATCAAGTGATACAAGTTTATTAGGCACATGAGACTCCATTAGATAGTGATTTCGAAGAAAATAAATTTAGTTTTAACACGCATCATGTAATTTTAGGTAACAAACAGAAAACCATTAACTATACTCAAAAAAATCAAAGTATTATAATTTTCCTTAACTTATCCTTTTCTTGTCCTTAATTAAAATACATTCAGATAAATTCATTCGGATACCAAAACTCGGTCTTCCTTAATTAGTTGCATGAACTTAATTAAATAAAAAAAATACTAGATAATTAGCAACATATAGACAGAGGTTTATCCACCATATAACACCCAAGCAAAGTCATAATCTATTACCTCACAAAGAGAGATCATTTTCTTTTTCTTTTTTTATTTCAAGCACGTGGGAAAATGAAATGATTTGGAGTAGCACTTATGAGCTACGGACTAAACAACCAGAATGGGAAAAAGGAAAAAAAAGACTAATTTATTTTAGTCTTGGGTAGTGTTTTAATATCAAGTAGCTAATAAAAAAGAAAAAGAAAAAAAAAACTTACAGACCTTTAAACTAGTGATAAATTCATTCTTTAGTACCACTACCGAAGCGAAGAAAAGGTCGGATCAAGAAAAGGGGGTAATTTGAGCCCTCCGCCCCACGATCTAACCAACTCGCGTTGTGTAGGTGATAAATTCAGTCTTTAGACCAACGATTCGATCGATAAATTTAGTCTTTTTTCCGGAAGGATATGTGTAGGGGTGTTCATTCGGTAATTCGATTTTGTTTCAAACTTTTTTTATCAGCTTTTGGTTAATCGAATTGTCTAAAAAAATAACCAAAACCGAACCGAATTATTATTCGATTTTTCGATTCCGCTTTGAAATATATCGGTTTTTTTATTCGGTAATTCGGTTTTCACTTGAATTATCTATACTTTTGATTTTTGAAAGGATCATGCACTTTCGAAAAAATAAATTTAGTATTTGCATTGCGATTTTAGGCTATGTTCCTATATGTATACGTTTTTCAATCTCATTGAACTCTGTCTATTTACTATTATTTTACTACTCCTCAATAGTCATTAATAATATTATATCAATTGATATATATATATATATATATATATATATATATATATAATACAAAGATGTCATCATTACCATATAAAGTCTAATAATATATAATATATGTTATTGTCTATCGGTATAAGTAGATAATACCGCCAAATATGTGTTACAATTAAGATATTTTAACAATTCCTTCTAAAAAGAAACGAGCATGCTTTGAAGCTCAAATATAATCGACTTATTTGTCTTTATGAAAGACACTTTTAATTAGCTTGACATAATTAGAACTAATAATTTTGGATAACTTGTTAAACACTACAACCATAAGCTAACCTTTGCTAATTAAATGATAATGTTGTTTTTAAACAATGAAGAACATTAAAATTTCAAACACTCGACTTTCTTTAGCACAATTTTAAATTATATGTGTTTACTAAAAAGAGACATACTAATTATTATCGTGGTTCATAAATTAACTAGTTTTCTTTCACATAGAAAAACAAACACTATCTCACATCTTTTTTTTTTTTAAACTATAAATTGAATCAAGAAAGAAATTATGTACCACCTTAGGCAATTATGAACAAGAATTGGTTATAGTCATTTAGCATTGGGCCAGTTGGCTCATGTAATCAATGCAACAAGAATTGGTTATGGGCTAATTGATTTAACTCTAATTAGCTTAAGTTTGCGTGAGGGTGAGGTGAGGGTGTGAGGATTGGAATGAACGACGTCGTTCATCGATGAATTTTTTTAAAAAATTTAATAATTTCGATTATTCGGTTTTAACCAAATTAAAAAAAAACCAAAACCGAAATAAAAAATCGCCTATGTTTTGTTTGGTTTTTTTTTAGTTTTTTTTTTTTAAAATTACATCGAAATTGATATTTCGGTGCGGTTCGATTCGGTTATTCGGTTTTCACCGAATAGTGAACACCCCTAGATATGTGGGACTTAATGGGTATGCCTTCCTTTCTAACTTTCCTTCGTCACTCGATTCCTCTCACTACCATATTCTCTCATCATACTTTCCCTTATACATCAATTATCTCTACCATAAATCTTAAAAATCCTAAATATCACTTGACCATTTATCTAATGGCAATAAAAAATATGAAATTATCGACAAAGAAGAAAAAATAATATCACAACGAAGAGAAAGATTAGTTGTTGAGCAAGAAAAAAAAGAGAGAGAGAAAGATTAGTCGTTGAGGGAAAGAGATGATATTGCAATTTTGGTGACTACCTAATTATGATTAAAGGGAATAAGAAAAGATTTCAAATTAGATTTGTTTCAACAAAGAAAAAAAACGAGAGAGAGGGAGGGAAAGCACTACTCGTGAGAGAGTTTGTAAGTTTGGTGGCTAATTAGGTATTGTTAGAAAAGTATTTATAGTGGTATGAATATAATATTGATTAAAAGCTAAGGATATTTTTAAGATGAAAAAAAATAATGCTTTTTTTTTTTTTTTTTCATTCGCACAATGTCATTCCCACTTAAACCTCGCATCTCCAAAAGTAATGAAATCACATGATAAATTTATTCTCACTCCCTATTTTTATTTTTATATTATTCTTGATTATCAAACACCTCACCATCAAGAAATGAAGTGTGAATTTCTATTCCTAGTGTTTTATGACTGATTACCAAATAATACTTAGAAGTTAAGTTTTTATGAATCAAAAATACCTTTAGCCTTTCACTTATCAAAATAAGTTTGTGTGTGTATAAATACACACAATCAAAATCGTGCTGGCGTGAGATTAAAAAAGTGTATTAAAACTAAAACACTTGTCGACGAAAAATTTAGGGTTCAAATTGTATTTTTACGTTTCGTTGTGACCATAAAAAAAATTTAGATTTATCTTCTCGATTCTAAGAGTGTGAGATGATTAAAATTTGTAGTTCAAGACCGATTTATATCTATCGAGGTGGTCGCATGTCAGTTTCGGGTAAAAACAAAAAAACAAAAAAGAAACGAACGACATGTTTGCAAGGGAGGCATCATCCCTGGAACTTTTTTGACTGGATCAACAAATGACACGAGCAAAAACCAAAAACCAGTATACCCCACGTTACCTCCACTGGGCCCATCCACATCCATTGCAGACAAAAACCTCAACATTGTAAAAATTTGAAGCCACTTTTACGCACAACGGAGCGTCCTGAACGTGTACAAAGAAAAGGATTAAAGAAGACACATCTAAAACACCAGTGGGCGGGGCAGTTGGGCAGTTATCGCTTTTTCAGATGCACTTTGATTTTCTGAAGTTTGTAGAACACACCTGTAATCTCCTACGATTCCTTAAGATCCAATCGTTTTGTGCCATGTTGGAAAACAGTAGTATTCACTTCTTATTTAACATTGCTCGACGTAAGCCCTGAAATGAAAGAAATCTAAACTCCCAAGGGCTGAGATAATAAAAAATCAGTCTTTGAATTCGCAATTACGCGGTTTGACTTAACTTTCCGTCTAATGATAGCCAGAAAGTCATGTCCTTACACGTATCATTCAAGTCATTGGCACGTGGCATCCACCAGTCAATCAAAATCCTACCGACTACACTCAAACCGTCCGGTCTTCCACCACTTCACAATCCATAAATACAAGAAACACAATAATAGAGACGTTAATTAATTAGTGTGAATGGTGAATAGCTTTCGGAGAAGGCATTTGTTTCCTTTCATAATCATGGATGATTACAACATTTAATAATGAATGGTAGGAAAGGCATTCGGTCATGGTTCTCAATATTTAACGTAATGTTTATAATTTGATAGGATTTATATGTCAATATAAATTAAATCTTTTACCAAATATTTTTTAAAGAACACTTTTTTTTTTTTAAATTCTAGGTTGAGTGTTTGAAGTTTTTATTTAAAAAATTTATATAATTATTCACAACACCTCAAAAATAATATATGCCACATTACGAAGACAATTGCAAGCAAATCATTTTAGAATTATATCAATATATTTAGGATTTTTTTATTAAAAGGTTCAGACCAAATCTAATGTATTTGCAATGTAAATATATTTTAGACGTAATCTAGTCTTTTCCCTTTTACCCTCTCTAGATAATAATCTAATAAATAGTATCAACTTTGTTAATTAATAATTAGCTAACGTTGTTATATTCCAAGAATTGGATCTTCCTCTTTCTCACCGGTTACTTCATATCTACGACACCGTTTAGCTGGAAAGGGATCAATTAGAAGAGATCATGACGTCTAAAAATAAAGTTTAATAACTCCCTCGCAATCTGACACGGATTTGAAGTAAATGGTAACTGTAAAATTTTTATCAATCCGACTCCTACTGATATAAGGCCTGATTATAGTAGTGAAGTACTCCCAATTGTTCTTGTTGTTGTCATCTTTTCTGGGGTGTCTGATTTTGGCAGAGAATGTTGTGTTTGATCAGTTTCTCTTCTTCTTTCTTGTATTGTATTTGTATAGAATATAGTGGTTAGTTAGGTAGGTGGTTATAGTAAATAGCAAAAGAGAAAAGAGAAGAAATGGATGCAAGAGAGATGTCAATAATGCATCATGTGGCCATTGTACTCTTTCTGCTTGGGTTGCTCTCTTTCTTCAATCGATCCCATCCTATTGCCTTCTTTCTTTCTTTGATCTATCTTTACTTGGTAATTATCTTTTTCTTTGTTTGTCTTTTTTTGTTGGAATCAACTTAGTTGCAAGCAAAAAAGATTTGTTTTCAGACAATCTTATTTCCTGATTTTTGTCGTTTCTCGCTGATTCTTTCGTTTTCCGTTTCTTTTTTATTATCAAAGGTTCATGAGACATACGTTATGAAATTGAGGAGGAAATTGCAGTTTGAAGAAAGAAAACAAGCCTATCAAAATAGGGTAATTTTTCTCTTCTCGATTTTCTTTTTCCTTATAGTTCATTTATTTTATTGTCTTTTTTAATTTTTTTTTTTAATGGATATTTCTTTATACTCTTCAATTGGGTTTATCAGAAACTTGAATCTTGGTAATAATTCTGTTTCATTTCTAGGCATGCACTTGCATCTACAAGTTCATTCTTTAATCTTAAAATTGGAAAGGCAAATTTATTGTTTTTTAAAGTTTTCTTTATAGTTCAAAATGCAAATGAATACGCGGTTTGCACTTTTGCACTTTTTTCTTTACTTTTGGAGTTGAAAAAGGCATATGGATATGCTCTTTTGCACTTTTTGTTGGTCTATTCTTCTTCTTTACCAGGAAGGAAGCTAGATTGAGGTTCTTGATTTGATTCCTTATGAAACTGTAGCAGTGTAATGCTTTTCTGCTTTTCATTTGATCTTTCTCTTTTCTTCTTTGCCTTCAGGTTCTTACTGATTCTGAAACAGTGCGATGGTTGAACCATGCTGTGGAAAAGATATGGCCCATATGTATGGAACAGATTGCGTCGCAGAAGATTCTGCTTCCCATTATACCTTGGTTCTTGGAAAAGTATAAACCATGGACCGCCGTATGAATCCACCTTTCTGATACCCTGCATATGTCTATCATGTACTTATTGATTTTAACTGGTTTATTTTGCCTTTTTGTTTGAAATTTGTGCTTTAATATTTGTTCACAGTAGGGCTAGTAATTTTCAGGCAAATTTGTGTTGGTAGTATTTCTAATCATATTGCATCTTATATATGTATTAAGGCTGAGCCTGAACTTTGAGGGAAATTCACTTCTCTCTGGAAAGAAAACTCTTAGATTCTTTATGTTCAAATGGTCGATTGTGTATTTCAGTGGGTGATTACAAGACATATAAGGTTGGAAGGTTATTAAATTAGCTCTTTCGTGATTATTCACCATTCTTACAGGAATTGTGGTTATCTGCTTTGGCATGTTTGCTTAGGAAATAGGGCTTATGTGAATTTCCTCTGATACAATTCGTATGTTGCTGATTTTGTATGCTACATGCACAGAAAAAAGCTTTGGTTCAACACATGTATTTGGGAAGAAATCCACCATTGTTCACAGAAATGAGGGTTCTTCGCCAATCTACTGGTGATGACCACTTGGTATGTATCATCATTTACCAACCTTGTGGTATCCATGTTGTATTGTAAACCATGTTGTGGGAGTTTCTCTCTCTCTCTCTCTTTATAATTTCTCAATGGATTTATTTAATTGCAATAAATGTAGGTACTGGAGTTGGGCATGAATTTTTGCACAGCAGATGATATGATTGCAATTCTCGCTGTCAAGTTAAGGAAAAGGCTTGGATTTGGAATGTGGGCAAAGATGCATATGACAGGGATGCATGTAGAAGGAAAGGTATATAACTTATATTTTGTGGTTCATGATCAAAATTGATATGGAAATACAGGAGTAACTACTATATGAAGATCGAGCATAATATATGTGCAAAATGCTTTAATAAATAGACCAATCACCTTATATTTGTGCATGGATCTTGATAGTATAAATTGAAGCATTTTTTCTTTCATCTCTTTCTCCTTCAATACACATATAATCCTGTTTAGCTTTTCCCTCTATCTGTTTGGTCATGCTGTTTTTCACTGAACAAATTCTGCTGTTTAGTTTTGAAGTTCTGTCTGGATGATTTCTAGCCAGGGAGAAACCACTGATTGCCTAGTGTAAATGTTTAATGCAAAGAGTTATTTATTAGAAATGACTTCACTCGCGTGCAGATTTTCATAGCTCTTGCTCTAATTCTGTCGAATTTTGAAATTCCCTTCAGAATATCCCATGTAAATACTTAAATCATTCTTATAGCTTTCCATTTTACATCCATTACCAGGTTTTTCAAGAAATTATATCATTTAAACTTTCCATTTCTTAATTTTACTTAATTTAAGGGCATTGCTGAGGATGCTATTCTATGTTATAAATCTTTGGTAAATTGCATAGTTAGAAGTAAATGGCTACGCTTTAGTTTGTTTAGTTAGGTCTTACATGCTATCTGAAATGTCTTACTTTATTTCTCTGATTTGTGCACTTGAATTGTGAGCATGTCAATGATAGGATGGTTTTCTTAATATTTTTGGATGCGACATCATTTAGCTGACTTGATTTTCAGCATTGTGTTAGATTATATTTTACGATTTTCCTCTATGAAACATTTTTTTTTTCAATTTCTCAATCTGATTAGAAATATATTCACTTCAATACGTGTCTTCTTTTTTAGGTCTTGATTGGAGTGAAGTTTCTTCGTCACTGGCCTTTTCTTGGTCGTTTGCGGGTATGCTTTGCTGAGCCACCTTATTTCCAAATGACTGTGAAACCCATATTCACTCATGGACTTGATGTTACTGAACTTCCAGGGATTGCTGGATGGCTAGTAAGTCTCAGTCCAGTTAATTGCAGAATGATATCTTGAAGTTCCACCCATTCTCTCGCTTTTATATATCCTCTCACTGCTTGAACTTTTGTTTGATTAGGACAAGCTTCTGTCGGTTGCTTTTGAGCAGACACTAGTTCAGGTATAGTTCTTCACCTCTCATACTCTGTCAATTTTACAAGTGATCATCAGTCCCTTGCAAATTATGTTTCTTCTCTTGCCTTCTCCTTGATTGGGAATTTCTTTTATTTTTCGGCTGTCAACAATAGCATTCCTAATGCTGATGCAAATATTTGCATGTTTGTAGCCCAATATGCTAGTTGTTGACATGGAGAAATTTGTTTCACCAGGGTCAGGTAATTTACTAACAGAAACTGTTTTATTTCCTATTTAGGGAATCATATTCCTTTTAAGTTTTAGCTTTTCTTTTTGCTGTCTATGTTAAATTTTGAATTTGAATCAATCTCAGTTATTAATGTATTTCATCCTTGCTTCACAACAAACATCTATGCCATAAATTTGGGTAAATCTGATACAACTAAGGGGATAGAAAACCCTAGAATCCACAAAGAAATGAAAAACCAAAGGAGATCCACCTCTCAAAGTGACTACTCAAACTCTCAATTTTATTTAATCATAAAAAATGGCCCCCGAATACAATGGATAAGTGTGCCTATATAGGCACGCAAAAAGCCCTTTCTAACCAAACTATTAAATAATAGTCCGAATAATACTGAATTCCTAATTAAAAATACTAGAATATGGAAACTTCCTAAAGAAGGATAAAATTTTAGAGTTAATGAAATTATAAATAACTTGACAATAATTCCTCTTCTTATACCGCATCAAGTCTTTACTTTATGTTTGCCTTACGATCCTATCAGAACTTTTAAAGAGCAAATAATAAAGGGAAAAACTTATTGCTTATTGGGTTCTTGAAAGAGGAACGAGCTCCTAAATAAGCATTTGTTTTTTATGGTTAAGAAACTGTTTCAAGCTAAAAATTGAGGGTTTTAAAAAATTGACAAACGGGAGAAAAGTATAAGGAAAAGTAAAAGAAGAGAGCATTATTTTTGTGTCAATTAGAAATGTGTCAGTAAGCTATTTGTAAGACATATTGTCACCTGAACTTTAACTGTTTCCATGTTACACTGGAACCTTATTGTTTGATTAGAACTTAAGATGAAATATTGCTGGCTTAATTGAAAGTCTTTGTAATTGCTGTCTTTGCTTCGCCAAACAGTTTTGAAGATGGCAAGCATAAAAAATTGATTTTGTCATAAAAGTAGTGTCTCGGCTGGGGCATTACCATGACCTATTGTGATGAGTCAGGTCTTAACTGATGTTTTTTAGCAAACCTTATTTGTATCTTGCATCATCTTCTGTTCTAATAACTTAAGTTGTGGTAATACTCCTGGATGCTTTAGCATCAGAAAGCCTCCTTCTATAACTTGTTCTAGAAGTTGTATTTTGTCTTATCCTCTTGTGTGCGCCAAATGTGTAACCATTGTACTATGTATTTGCTTGTCAGAGGACTGGTTCTCTGTGGATGAGAAGGAACCCATTGCATATGCCAAAGTTGAAGTAATTGAAGCATCTGACATGAAACCATCAGATTTAAACGGTTGGTTTAGCTACTGCTTCCATCATCTTCTTACTACACAATGTTGTACATACGAGCACAAAATAATTGTTTTCTTTTTTTCAGGATTGGCTGATCCATATGTGAAAGGACAACTTGGTGCTTACAGATTCAGGACGAAGACACAGAGGAAAACTCTATCTCCAAAGTGGCAAGAGGAATTCAAGATCCCCATTTGTACCTGGGATTCACCTAATGTTCTAGCTATTGAAGTTCGTGACAAGGACCATTTGTTTGATGATGCACTTGGGTTTGTCTCTGATTTTTTTCACAATAAAAATGCATGGTTATGTGTGAGCCAAATTATTGTTATGAATAACTGAGAATTGTGAGAACTTTAGAATTATAGGTATTGAGGATTCCAAATAATTGACTACTTGTGTGGTAAAAGTATATGTTTCACATATTTTTTTTTAATGAGTTCTAGATTGTATTTCAGAGATTGATTTCATACTTCAGAGTAGCGTGTCTCAGAAATTGCTTTTGTAGGATTTGTATTTCTTACCTTTTCTTCTCGGTTGTGGTGGGGATCAGGCAATTGGTCACAGCCTTTGCTTTTTGGAATTTTGTGAAGTTTGTTTTGCCTTATATTCTTTTAAATTTATGACACTGCTACTACTATCTGCAGGGTTTGCACAGTTAACATCAATGAGCTTAAGGATCGTGGGAGGCATGACATGTGGTTGCCACTTCAGAACATTAAAATAGGGAGGCTGCATCTTGCAATCACTGTTCTGCAAGGGAATGCACAGGTAATTTCAATAGAACTCAATTCAAGAGAACATGATCATAAGGGTTTCGTACATGATGCACTGATTCTTTTGGATGATATAAATTGCAGAATTTTGATGTGATTTTATGGTATGATTTATTCAGGGAGGTGATTCTACACCTGATGGGGAGACATTGACCAAGGTGCAAATACAGGACTCCTTTGTAAGTGATACTGCTAATAGAGCTTCCTTTTCATCTGTATCAACAGAGAAGTCTCAAGTTCCAGACAATTTCGAGCCTATCAACATCGAAGGGCAACAAGAGACTGGAATATGGGTTCATCACCCTGGAAGTGAAGTGCCACAAACATGGGAGCCCAGAAAAGGGAAGACTACAAATTCTTTGAGCTCTCATTCTGCAGTATCTGGGCCACTTAACAATGACAGCAGCAGTGGTGAAGAAAATGCTGAGGGTGAAAATAAAAGGAACCGATTTAAGCGAGGTTTGCAGAAGATTGGCTCTGTATTCCATAGAAATTCTAAAAAAGAGGATAACTTGAGCATCAATGGCGAAACTGTTCCATCTCCTTATGATAATATTAAAGCAACGGACCAGAGAGAGATTGGCGTGAAGATTGTAGTGGAAGACAGCCTTTCTGTGCCGAATTCTGGTAGTTTGATTGGAGATAGTTTGGATTCTGAGAAAAGTAGTCCAGAAATCCCCGGGAGAGGAAATGGCAAAGGCATGGCAAAGAGTATATTAAAACATGCAGAAAAATCTGCTCGTGGATTAAGGCAGGCACTTTCTCGGACAGGGTCAAGAAAATCTCATGGTGATTCTTCTGTGGCTACAGAAAGAGACATTTATCCAGAGTCTGACTCTTCTGATGATGAATCTCTTTCATCACCACAACCAATACCAGCGGCCATCAGTCCCATACCGTCCACCTGTGCCAATGTTGATTCTGTTAAACCTCTGGAGAATATAATCCAGAGTGGTTCAAGTGAGTCCCCTTCAAGTGAATCCCCACTAAATGCTGATGCCCAAACGAAAAAGGTGAGTGTTATAGATAATGGACTACAATCCTCAAACCCTAAGAGCCCTTGAAGACTGGAAAGAACTAAGAGTAAAACTTTTTCTTGCTAGAATGTGAAAAATTAATCGAAGTTTTACACTTATGTTTGCTCAAACAGGTTAAGATACTGAAACTCTTTATAATATGTTCGTTGATAGAGTTTGGAGAATCTTAGTACAGCTTGGGAGTTGTATTTGTCAGTAGTGATTTTGTTCATTCTTATCAGGAATGTACATTAGTATATGTTTCACGTATATGTAAATTAGTTATAGAAGCAGTCTGTTTTGTATTTGCAGAATGTTTAGTAAAAACATTAGTAAAAGATAAGTTTGATTATTGATGCCAGAATTTGTTTTGGTTAACCATGAGAAGAAATGGGGTAAGTTGTAAAGAAACGAAAAAGAAAACCATCTTGTCCAGATATACCAAAACTATAAAATTCCTAAGCCACTGGGTAGTTTACACCGACAGAGGGACATAACCCATTAAGATGCTGGATTTTATTGAAGGTCTCTTAACACCTTGTAAGACTCATTTATAGTGCCGAGGGGAATTGGGTTCATTATGATCCAACTATTTCTCTTTTCATATTTTCTATTTTCTTTTTCAAGCCCCTTTCTGCAGTAAGTATTTTACTTCATATAGAGAGGTAAAAATTCTTGGCACTTCTTATAGAAAGCCTCAATAAATAAACTTCGAAGCAGTGTTCTAAAAAACGGCAAGCGAGTTTGAAATATTGAATTCCATAATTTTTTTGGATGCCGACAATACCGTTTACCATCAAAACAAAGGAAAAGTGCAGAGTTTCAAAGGTTATTTCCTAGCATCATCTGTATTCATGTTTTCGTGAGCAGAGTTTCAGCTGCTTCATGAGTAATGGGCCCACACAGCCAATGAAAAATATGATTGCTTCACTGCACCTTGCCATGAAAACAGTGAGTCATCTGCTTCTGGTTTCTTCATGGGTGGCTGCTCAGCTGAACACGATAGCTGAATTTGCATACTGTTGAATTTTAGAGAAGAGAAAGAAGGAAAACACTAGGGTTAACGTGGTTCGGTCATTAGACCTACATCCACAAAAGGAAATCTTTTTTTATTTTATTGTGTCTGCTATGTTTATAATGGAGGACTCTTCCTTTTATAGGGGACCAAATACACTAGAATAGGAAGGAAATAATAGGACGAGAAAATCAAGAAGATAATAGGACGGAAAATCAAGCCCGATTTTCCGTGATTACAAGACCTTCCTAAAATAGCAAAGAATATTCCTCACATATTACGTTTTTCCACACTTCCCCTCAAGCTGGTGCATAGGTGTTCTCCATTCACGACTTGGATACAATACTTTGAAACATTGGGCTATTTAACCCTTTAGTAAGCACATCGACAAGTTGACCATGTGTAGACACATAGAGTGTACAAATCGGACCGCTCTCCAACTTCTCTTTGATGAAGTGTTTATCAATTTCGATGTGTTTCGTTCAATCATGTTATACCGGGTTATGGGCTATACTAATTGCGGACTTGTTATCACAATAAAGTCTCGACAGACCATCCCACTTAACCTTTAAGTCTTCTAGAATGATCGTCAACCATAGTAGTTCACACACTCCTCGAGCCTTTGATCAAAATTCGCCTCTACACTAGACCGTGCAACTATATTACGTTTTTTACTTCTCCATGTCACAAGATTTCCACCAAGAAAGATGCAATATCTAATAGTTGACCTTTTGTCAACAATTAAACCAAGCATAATCGGCATCTATGTATGCCTCAAGTGCTAAACCTCTATTCCTTCTAATCATAATACCTTTCCCCGGTGTTCCCTCGAGGTACTATAACACTCGGTGAGTTGCTTGTAAATGAACTTCCTTTTTGGTTATGCATAAATTGACTAATCACACTAACTCGCATATGCTATATCCGGATGCATATGAGATAGATAGATGAGTCTTCCTACCAACCATTGATACATCTCCTTATCCACTGCAACATCCTCTTCGATCTTTCCAAGTTTAAGATTCTAATCTATTGAAGTACTTGCTAGTTTGCATGCTCGTCTTGCTCGTGTCTTTGAAGAGATCCGTAACATACTTTTGTTGGGATATAAAAATACCATGACTAGAGTGAGCAACCTTAATCCCGAGAAAATATTTCAACCTTCCTAACGCTTTGATCTCAAATTCCTTAGCTAAACATTGACTTAGGATCTTTCTCTATTTGTCATTATCTTTTGTCACTATTATATCATCAATATAAACCAAGAGAACTCGTAACTCCCCTTGAAGGTGAGTGTTTAATGAACAACGTATGACCCCCTTGGCTTTTTCTATATCCCATAGCTATCATAACTTTAGCAAATCTCCCAAACCATGCTCGTGGTGATTGCTTTAGGCCATACAAGGCTTTCTTCAATTGACACATAGTATTAGTAGTCAAGTTCTTCCTATAACCTAGTGGAACCTCCATATAAATTTCTTCCTCTAATTCTCCATGAAAAAAAGCATTCGTAACATCAAAGTGTTGTAAATCCCAATCATAATTAGCTGCTTAATGATAACAAAACTCACATAGTATTCATCTTTGCAATAGGGGCAAAGGTCTCTTGATAGTCAATTCCATAAGTTTGAGTATACCCTTTGGCTACCAACCTTGCCTTGTATCTTTCTATGTACCCATTTGCTATATACTTCACTTGTATACACTCATTTACACCCCACGAGTTTCTTTCCAACCAACGACTTCACCAACTCCCAAGTTTTATTTTTATTTTTTCCAATGCTTCCATCTCCACATTCATAGCTTTTCTCCATTTCTCATTAGACAAAGCCTCGGATAAGGTGGTTGGGATGGTAATGGTATTTAAACTAACAAGGAAGGCTCTATGAGATGGTGAAACATTCTTAAAGGATAAAAAGTGTGCAAGAGGGTATAAAGGTTGTTTAGTGCATTCTCTTATTCCTTTCCTAATAGCAATGGGAAGGTCTTGGTCATCAATCCCCTCATGAGATCCGGATTCACTATGTAATAAGGGATTAGAGATTGTTACCTCATTCTCGGGATTTGGGTTGGATTCTTGGACTCGGCCGGATTCGGGAGCATCTATCTTCTTCTTTGTGAACACTTTTCCTTTACCAAATCTCACATTTTCAAGAGTAGAGTTGGTTGTTTCTTGAGGAATGGGTTCGGGAGGATATTCGGGAGGATTTTCAAAAATGGATGGTGAAATAGGCTTTTCAAGAGACAAGTTAGAAATGGGAAGGGATGGTAGAAAAAATTCCTTATCTTCCGTGGTAGAATGCTCCCCGAAAGATAAGGAGTGGTAAAATAAGACTCTTGTTCGTTGAAAGTGACATCTACCGAAACATAAAACCTTTTAGATGAAGGATGATAACATTTATTCCCCTTTTGATTAGAAGAGTAGCCTATAAAGATACATTTTATTTCCTTTGGATCCAGTTTCCCCTATTTGGACTATGGACATAGATGAATGACACACACCTAAAAACTTTAGGAATAAGGTTATTTGTAGTATGGTGGTTAGGGTAGAATGTTGAGAGTACTTCCATTGGAATTTTAAACCCCAATACCCTAGAAGGGTAAACGGTTTATGAGATGAGTGGCTTTAAGAATTGCTTCCCCCGGAAAGATTTAGGCATATGGTTTTGGAATAACAAAGCTCGGGTTGTTTCGAGGAGGTGACCATTCTTCCTTTCAGCTACTCCATTTTGTTATGGGGTGTAGACACGAGATGACTCGTGTATTATTCCTTCTTTCTAAAAATATGGAGTTAGGATTTGATTAAAATAATCCCTAGCATTATCCGACCTAAACCTTTTGATGCCGACTTCGAATTGGTTTTTAACCATGGAACAAAAATTTGAGAGAATAGTACTAACATCGGATTTATGTTTGAGTAAAAAAATCCAAGTAACACGAGTGCAATCATCAATAAATGACACAAACCATTTTTCTCCAGAAACATTAGGAATAGTACATGGATCCTAAATATCACTCGTGAATGAGATAAAAAGGAACATAACTTTTATTAGTACTAACCGAAAAAGATGTACGTTTGTGTTTAGCAAGCTCACACTTCATAATGAAAGTTTTCAATATTTAGGCCTTTAAACAAAGAGGGAAAAATTTTTTTAATAACCCTAAATGATGGATGTTCAAGTCGGCGATGGTAAAGCCAAACTTTCTCTTTATTGGGTGAAAGAATTTCAAAATAATGGAATGAGATAATCAACCCTTGGTAATGTTCAATTGACTTGGTGTTTCAAGGTAGTAGAGGTCATCCTGTTCTTTAGCATGTCTAATCATCTTCCTAAATCCTTATCCCGAAATACATAATAACTGGGATTAAAAATTACTTTACAATATAAATCTCGAGTGAGTTTGTTTATAGAGATAAGGTTTGTAGACAATCTAGGGACGTGAAGGACATTTTTTAGAATCGGGGATGGATTTATTTGAGCATCTCCTACATCCGTTATCGTGGTTAAAGTCCCATTAGTAGTGGCTATTTTTCTACTCCTTGGACATGGAGAATAGGTGATAAAATTATTTGGTGAGTGAGTCATGTGGTCGGTGGCTCTTGAGTCCATGACTCGGGAGTTGGCAAATATTGTACCGGAGAGATTTAATCCAATAGAGAGTGGAAACTTACCCGAATATGTCAAAGAACAAGTACTTGAAGGTTTTCCAAGGTCGTTGATAAGAGATCTCAACCTCTCAATCTCCTCTTGGTTAAGATTGTTTGTCTTTTGAGGTGGTGGTTCACTTGGTTGAACTGTAGTAACATGAGCCCGCCCATTGCCTCTTGGTTGCTCTTTTTCTGTCCCTATTCTCTACTTTGAGGCTTTCCATAAAGCTTCCAACACTTTTCATGAGTGTGGTGTGCCTTCTTACAATAAGTGAACCATATGTTGTCACGACTTTTAGCCTTTGATTGACTAGGTCGTCGACCTTCAAGAAATTGTGCTTTTTCTCGCTTTTATGGAAGATTTGTTGCCATCACTTGCCACCATTGTTGAGTTATCCATGGCTTGTGATTCAAGCATCAAACCTCTCTTACTTTCTTCACTTCGGATTAGAGCTATCACTTGATTAAAACATGAAACCTCTAGCTTGCTAAGAATATGCACCCTTACTCGATAAAATTCGGATTAAGACCAATAAGGAAATCATAAACTCTATCTTGCATAATAAATTTTTTTAGAATAGTTGCATCGGTAGGACATTTAGTTTTTATCACCCAAAATGGTCAAGTTCTTACCACAAGGATTTTAACCGATTAGCATACTCGGTAGCATATTTACTTTCCGGTTTTTCATTCATAGTCTTCACTTTGACCTTGTTAGCTTTAAAGTAGGTCCGTTGTATTGCCTCCTAAATCTTCTTGGTAGTAGCCACGAACATACATGTGTAATTGATCTTCGGGATAGAACCCCACAACCACGCTATAATCATGGAATCCTCTTCATCCCATGCTTCAAACCGAGGATCACCTGGTTTAGGTCCTCTACCAAGTAAAGTGGCCGATCTTCCCTCTTCATTTCAAGCATCTGTACGAACAAGTTGGGACCACTTGAGGTAATTTCTTCCATTCAATCTTTATGCAGCCTCGAATGCTTTAGAGTTCCCCGAGTCGTTGAGATCGAACGACCTCCTCCGATTGGGCTGTAAGTGTCGTTTCTTCGTCCTTTGACATATTTATTGGTTTCTAAAACTAGAAAATGAAGGCCTTTTACGTGTAATAAAAACACTAGCAATGAAGGCTGATAACAATTCGATAACCAAAAAAACCACCAACAAAGTAGGTCTGGTACCATTGTAGGTTGGTTAAGAAAAACACCACCAACAATGAAGGTTGGTAACAATTCGAGTTTCGTCCTAGAAAGAACCAGCTCGATACCATGTTGAATTTTAGAGAAGAGAAAGAACAAAACCACTAAGGTTAACGTGGTTCGATCATAGACCTACATCCACAAGAGGAGATCTTTCTTTATTTTATTATGTGTCCGTTATGTTTACAATGGAGGAGGATTCTTCCTTTTATAGGGGACCAAATACACTAGAATATGAAGGAAATAATAGGACAAAAAATTAAGAAGATAATAGGAAAGAAAATCGAGCCTAATTTTTTATGATTACAAGACCTTTCTAAAATAGCAAAGAATATTCCCCACATATTACGTTTTCCCACACATACCATATAATCCACTGTTGTTGGCATACGAGTTTGAATCATTCATGTGCCCATTCAGCCACCCATCGGAATCCGATCCTTGAGTTTCTTGTTACTCATTTCTAAATTGGTAAGTTCTTACGGACTCTAGAATGCTAGAAGTTGCTTGGTATCATAAGATGTCCACCTTCATCCGAACACATTAGATTTTGTGAATCATATAGAGTATTATTTGTTTTTTTTTTTATAGTAAAACATTAATTTGGCAAGTATAAATCCACAATTTAAGAGAAAAGATTATACTCCTCTCGTTGTTCATAGAAGCGGGACATCAATATCCAGCTAAGTGATGTCTTAATCTATAATAATTTGCTTGAACTAAGTTTTACGTACGGTATGCGAGCAATAGCATACGTTGATCCAAGACTGCAATTTTGGAAGATTGCATTATAATTTTGGATATATATATATATATATATATATATATATATATATATATATATATGCGTTAAATTTTCTTTAAGGATCCACTCAAATGTTATAAATTAAAAAGCAAATTGTAACATGTTGATGCATGTCGAATGCATCAAATTTAATTTACTTTACTTATCGAATTTTATAGCAATGACAAGTTCGAGTCAAATCCCGAAGACTAGATAATCAACTTTTTTTTATCTAAATAATAAAGGGATTTGTTTGTTGTGCAAAGCCAAATTAATAACAAAGAAAAAATGAGAAAGATTTCAATTTAGAAAAACTTCAATTCTAGAGAAAATTAAAATAAACCCAAATCTTCCTTAGATTCATTAATTCAAAACTGCGTGCCTAAATTAAGTTATTATTATTGATTGATTTCGGTATTGATGGAATCCTAGTTTAATCAACAATAGTCCTAAGAATTAGAAAGATAGCTACGATCGAATAACAATTTTAGGATACCTATATCATTTAATTTATTCTTTTATTTTCCTTAGGTAATTTGCTAGGTGTATTAACTTTTTCTAACAATTACGGATTACGAGAGTTAGCTAGTAATCAATCACATTAGACAATCAACTAATTAGCCATCTTAGATAATCACCTATGCAGTCATGATTAATTTAATTCAAAGATCAACTAATTATGCTCGGAGAAATGAAAGATACTCAATTTTAAAGAATAGATGAAGATCAAACTTGTGTCTCATAATTTTTTTGTAAATTGAAGTTGAAATCCCTTGAATTGAATTGATGAAATTAGCTATACATTGCTTGATGCATAAAACTCAAATAATAAAGAAAACATGTAAAATAAAGTGTCTCCCTAAAGACTAAAAGGCTTTTGAATCATGAAGACCGTAGGCTCGGATGTTTTATTTTTATAGGCTTTTGAATCACCTCGATCATTCTACTAAACACTAAAAGATCTAGGAAGCCATCTATTTTACTCGTTCATTTGAACGAGTAAAAGTTCTAGCTCTCTTTTTTTTTTTTTTTTTTTTTTTTTTTTTTTTTTTTTTTTAAGCCAAGGCCCTCTTTTTTCTTTCTTTATTTGTTTTTTTTTTTTTAATTCCGCTTTCTTTAGCCAAGGCCCTCTTTTGGCTTTTAGTAAACTATTTTTTGATTTTCTACAACGGTATTTTCATGATTTCTTGATAGTTTTTTCATTTATTTTCAAATTTTACACTTTATTTTTTTTTTATCCTTTATGTTTTCAAAATATATTTTTAAATCCTCATATTTTTAAAAATATTTTGAAATCTCATGTTTTTAATTTAGTCTACTTTTACCTCACTTTTTTTTTCAAAATATACTTTTTATTCTTCATATTTTTTAAAAATATTTTTGGCCTCTTATGTTTTTAAATTTTAGAACGAACACATGTATCGAATTATATTTTTTTATTGATTAAAATTAATCTCTTAATTTTTTTATTTATTATAAAAATTCTCATCAAATTAAATTTATTATTAACTTTTATTTTTTTGATAAATATGATTTATTTTTTTAGTTTTTTTTGAAAATTAATTATGTATCCGCATGCATAACCCTATATGTCCCTTCGGTTCAAAAATTTTTTTTGTTCCTTTTTTCTATTTCAATGTTTTTATTTTTTGTTTTAAGAAATCG